TTGTAGAAGAATAAGACTATATATAATAATAAAATAAATAATAGTATATATATATATATATATATATATATATATACATGTGTGTGTGTCTGTGTTCATAGATATAGACATATATATATGACTGCAGCTTCTGACTATACACACACTATGCGAATGAGGTACATGACTACACACGTCAAACACGCTCGTTAAAATACACCGGAACATACACGCCTGGGCCTATAGCATACACGCGTGCATACAACATGCATACAGCTGTTGCACACGGTCAGGTGTTGTCGTCTGAGCCCACATACACACATACTTCGTCCATGGCATTCTCATCCGATTCTTCGTCTCCGTTGTCCTCTGTTTCGTCGTTATTTTTATCGCCTTCGTTTGTGTCTAATAGGCCGTGCGATCGACTTAATGCGTAGTCTTTGAAGTAATCTGTGGATAACAGAAGGTAGTAGTTGAGTAGTTGAGTGCAGGTGTGATCTAGTTCAATGCCATATATGTTATAGTACAGTAGAATGTTGGTAATGAGGTCGTACTAGATATATGACAGTCCAAATTATATATATATATATATATAACTAGAACCCGTTTGCACATAATATAACTATAACCTACCATCGCCCATGTCCTCGTCCTCGTGCCCTCCGTCCATGTGTTTGTGGCCTGGCTGTCCGTGGTCTGGCACGTGTCCGTGTGCTTCTTCTGAGTCATCCAGTGGTACATCCATGTTGAGCAAAAACTTGTTAAATCTCACGGGAACGGCCCTGTCTGCGTGATGAAGTGTGAGTTTGTGGGTTTAAGGGTTTTAGTTTCAGCACATGTGTATGCGCGGTATGTGTGGGTAGGAAAGGAAGGGTCAGTTCACACAGACAACACACAAACTTCCCACAAGGCTCACAATCAGCTGATCATTCAGCTCTGAACACTCTAAGCTACACGCAAATGACTTATAATGTATATGTTGCCCATTCTTTCGTCAAGTTGCATTTGATCCCGAATATTTGCATTTTCTCGATCTGTTATCGTTGTAATTACATAAACATGGCGATTTCGTGGTATTTTCTTACACACACACACACACG